ATATAAATAATATATTTAGTATATTCTTCAGTAATTTTCATATATCTATAAATGTATGTAAAAAACACACACACTGAGTGTGATACTCTGCATGGAGGGGGTATTAACAAGTGGGAAGCCCTGCATATGGCCATTTGCCTTGGTGGGAGCTATCCACATCACACAACCAAATGATGGAAGAAATGGCCACAAGCCAAGTGACATCCAGTCTCCTGTCCTTGCCGTACCCCACTCTGCTTATTTACTAGCCATACATGGGGCTGCGCAGAGCATTGGGGGAAAGAGGCAGAACTGCTGCGTGCAATACCCAGTGAGTCGGTTGGAGCGAGATGGTGACGGCATCAGGGAAACTTGGGAGCGTGGAGAAAGTGCCCAAGGGCACCAGGCCACAAGCACTGACACTAGTAGCACCTCAACATTGCAGATGGATTGTGCAAACACCCCAGGAGTCCTCCTGGGATATACTGGGCATGAGAGCATATCATCCCATTTTGCCAGAAAATGGTTGTTTAGCAAAGCACTGAAGGGGAGTCATGGCTCACAGACTGTAAGATCAGTCCCGGCTGCTGAACACTTGTCTTATTTATAGCAACGAGATCGCCGCTAGCATCAACACTTCCCCTTCAGCCCTATTTATAAATCCCAACTCGCTCCTCCATGCTGTGCAGCAGCCTGCTCCATCCCACCAACACCCAGCAGCGTGCTCAGTGCCCTGAGATGCTGACATGCTCCGGCTTTGCTCCCTGCCTGCACGCTGGGCAGCACCTACCACTTTCCTCTTGCACCTTCATATTTTCTGGCTTGCAGATCCTTCAGGAGCATCTTGCCCTGCCTGATCGATGACAACTAAATAACATACAGCAAGAGATGCTCCGTAGATAGAATACCTTGGTGGCTTCCGCAAAGGACTCCTGGTGAAGCCAAGCCCTGGTCCTGAGCTACCCAAGGTGTGTGGCGAGGAGATTGGGGCCAAGGAAGACCCTGGTCCTGGGATGCAGCCTACTCCCCACAGTGCCACCATGCAGCCCTGGCCAGGGAGCAGAGCATGGTGGCAAAGTGCCCTGTCCCCAGCCAGGACGCTTGGTCTTGGCACCGTGCTCCCCACCTTGGGATGAAGGTGGTTGTAAATCTCTGCAGTTCTGCTCCTTTACACCACGGTGGGAGGATGGACTATGTGCATCCCTCTACTTGCCTTAGTTTATGAAAAAGAGGAAAAAAAACCCAAACGAACAAACCAATATCCCAGGCAGGGCACACCCAGCAGAAGAGCACTCAGGACTGGTGGTGGCAGTGCAAATTAGGGAACGAGCCAAAGGGATCATCAAGGAAGTTGAAGAAAGCATTGATGAATCCCATGTCTGGTTCCTGCTAATGCAGAGAGTCAGACAGAAAATATGTTTTCCTGTCCTCTGAACACTGCAAGGAGGCAGACAAAAGCAGAAGCCCCATTTTTTCTCTTTGAAAGTCACTCTACGTCACATATACACTCAGCCACCCACACACCAGTGAAAAGTTTCCCTCCACAGCAAAAGAAAAGAAGTGGTGAGCTTTCTTCTGCTGCACTCCCCTAGTATCAGGATGTGCTTTATATTCTTGTGACAAGGGAATGAAATGAGTTAAGGGATTAGGCAACCAAATTCAGCACACAAAATTAATCCTAAATTGCTAAATTCAGTAGCAGTCAGAGCTGGACATGTGTTGAGGTTCCCACTTTATTTCTGGGGTTTGGGAGCTTTTTTTTTTTTTAAAATCCAGTTTTAAATGGAAATTTGCTTTATTTTATGAGATTGAGCTTGTAAGCAGGAACCTCCAACCTCCAACAAGGATGAGGAGCTTGCAGAGCCTTGATCCACCTCATCACTGCCACGTGCCTTGGCATGGCAGCAGGTATTAAACATTTGGAAACATTGGGCAGGTGAGTGGCAGGACCTCATCCAGCCCATGGGTTTGGTCCCCACAGCCTGAGTGGGAACTTCTAGCTTGTAGAAGAGCTGGAGCCTAGTTAGGTACACTTGGGGTGTTAATCAGCTGAGTGCTGCAGGAAACAAAGGCAGGAGCAACTCTTCCTTCTCTCCAGGAGCAGCAGCTCTTGCTGGACAAGAGCCTCTTTCCTTGGCCCTGGCTTTGGATGGGGTTGCAGAAATATAAGCACGTACTATTTTCAGCATTCCCAGGGCACTACTTATTGCAAAGCAGATGCAAGCAGCAATCAATAACAAATGAGGAGCACGGATACAACTAAGAGTAGAGCAAATGTAGTCATGAAGGAGGCAGACGTGCCTTGGAGTGCAGTGTTGCTCTTGGAGGACCTCTCATGTTGGTCTCACACAGGTCACTGGGCACAGCCTGGGCGCAGTGTGCCGCAGCCAAAATGAGTGACCAGAGTAATTTCTCAGCAAGGTGCACTCAGGAGGATCCAATGGGGATCTGGTGTCCACCCTGCCTTGATAAGAGCTTCTCCTGTTAAGACCTTTTTGAGTTTTTTGACTTTAAAAGGTTTTACCTGTTGCCTGCAAGCTCAGACAGTGCTGGCAGAATTTGGAGGTGACAAAAATGCATTGGGCCGGCTGAGCAAGCATGTATCATGCAGGCGTGGGTGTTGCAGCTGTGACAATAAATAATACCCTTAAAAACTTCTCAGAGTGGACTGTGGTGGTGGAGAGGAACTTACAGAGGATGTTTTTGTGAAGAAAGGCTCTGTCTACCCACCACAGCATGGTCTTGGGCCATACATGGCAGTGCAAGCTCCTGGGCCACGTCACTGTGAGGGTTTGACTGGGTGACCGCAGAGCTGACTGTTGTTGCCAGTGCAGCTGTGTGGTGGCTGCTGGAGCTCTGCTGGGGAGGTTGGCTCCAGGGCAGGGTGGGTTTTCCAAGGCTGCAAACCCTCACATTGCCATAAGCAATGGTGGCAACCAGCCTTAGTGGTCCTGCCACATCTCTGAATCCATACTAGAGCTGGGCACCAAAACCTCACTGTGCAAATGCCACTGAAATGACACCCATTGACCTACCTAGACCTTCCTTCTACCCTTGGGAGAAGACCAGACCTTTTTTTTGAGGCTGACCCGTGGCCTTCATTGCTTATCTTGTATCTTACAGAGGCTGATGAGCAAGAAAGGACATGCTGACGATTCAGAAGGTGATCTGAGCACTCCTACCTACTAACCTGGCCTCAGTACCTTTCAAAGGTTTCCCTTGTTTTCTCATTTTCATTTCACTCTGAGCTGTTAATTCAGAAGGTTCACAGGAGGGAGCACTTCGCAAAGTTGACAGAAGCCAGGGAGTGGTTGTTTTCTTGCTCAGGACATCATCAGAGCTATTTCAAAACCAATGACCTGGCTTTCAGATGCTGTGTCTAATATTGCTAAAAAGGGCAGTGTTTGTTCTTTCTTCATGCTTTCGCCTTCCTTTTTCCTCTTTCAGTGAATTTCTCTTTACTCATTTCCCCATGTGTGCCCATGTTGTAAGGCAGTGGCCTTTGGTTTTGCTCCAGGGCTGCACTGGGGGAGAAGGCATTACGAGAAGTGATGGCATCAATGAACATGGTGCCATCAATGCCATGGGCAGAACACTGAGAACCACTCCCTGAGAGCAGTATAGCCAACTTTGTGGATGACATAAATTTCTGGGATCGGGAGATGTGTTTTGGGGTGAGAAGTGAGTAGTATGAACAGCTAGAAACAGGCGCTATGAGAATGTGCTTGTGCAGAACACCGTCTCTGTGATGCTCTGAAATGCTGGTCTAACTGAAGATAGCGAGTAATGGACTTTTTTTCCATGTATCTAGCACACAAAGCTAGCTGATTAATAGCAATAGTCCTCTTGTTAATTTTAATTCCAATTTCCATCCAAATATAGCTTGACACAGAAGCTGAAAAAATTCACATCTAGTGAAACCTATATGCAGTGCTTGAGATTTCCCAACGTTACATAGGTATAGTCATGGAGGTCAAAGAGTCTGGCTAAATGTCACATCAAGCTTTGCAGCAGTTCAGTTGGATGCATACTGATACAGTTCCCACTCTGCTGACTTCCTCATTTAGCCCAAAAACTATGTTTATTGGAAAGTGACTTATTTTTGTAAGAGGAGGTGAGCCGCCCTGACTCAGCCCACACACCCAGGGTGCCCTGCCCTGGCCTCAGCTGCCCGGCTTTGAGGGCTGTGTCTGGGTTATTCTCTCAGGCAGTGGGACGGCTGTAGGAAGGGCATGTCCTGCTGGGGCCACTGTGCTCCGCAGCCACTTTTCTGTAGAATCTGAGGGCTCCCTTCTCTGTGGCTGCCATGCACCAGGTGGTCACAGGGATGCTTTTCGTCTTGCAGGAAATGTCGCGTGGCTGCCGTCTCTGGCTGCTAGCGGTGGCCTGGGTGCTGCTGCTGGTGATGACAGGTGAGCCTGACCTGCCCTTCCCTGCTGCCTTTCTTCTGGCACTTTCTATGGGCAGTGAAATGGGGGGAACCCAAATGCTGCCCGATGGCAAGGGGAACATGGCATTGAGAAGTATGCAAGGGCCGGATCCTGCATTTCCTGGGATCTGGAGTTAATTCAAACCACTCCAGCAAGGGACAGCAAAGCACATGGGGACCCTGCCAGGACCCCCAGCATGGGATTTATAGGCTGGGCTGGCTCAGCCAGGTGCTGGGTATCAGAGCATCCCGTGACTGCCACTGCTGCAGACCAGCCTTCCCTGAGTGTCCCTCCACAACTCTGTTTTTCTCTCCGTTTCAGCCTTTGCCATGGAGTGCCCCAAGATCAAGGCGGGGACATGCGCGGACTGCATCCAGTCAGGTCCTGGCTGTGCCTGGTGCAAGAAGCCGGTAGGTCCGTGTAACATCTTGTGCTGTCAGCCCCCGGCAGTGAGCTAGCAGGCAGCAGGCTGGTCATCCTGCCTGCCCGGCTCTGCTTGCAGCGGAGGGGAGAGACGGCATCACAGGAGGGTTACATGTCCTAAGTGGTGGACGGAGCCAGGAGAGATCTGGCAAACAGGACCCTTTAGCCTTCCTTTCTTCGTCAATACCCTGGAGACCTGGTCTGGGAGCTGGGTCATCTTGTAATGAGCCCATTCACCTTTTACTCCTCTGATTTTTTTCCCTCTGATGTTGCAACACTCAGAATTTCACCAAAGCTGGTGAGCCAGACTCCATCCGCTGTGACACCATTGAGCAGCTGCAGCAGAGGGGATGCCCGCATAACGATATTGAGTTTCCAGTCAATGAGATTACAAAAACACAGGACATACCCTTAAGCAACGACATACAGCTGACTCCCCAGGAGGTGCACCTGAAACTTAGGAAAGGTATGGTCTGCCTGGCATTCCCAATGCCCTTCTGCTCTCCCCAAGGCACAGCAGCTCATCCTGGCATCCCTGTCCCACAGGTCAGCCTGCCGAATTCGAGGTGAAGTTTCGCCGTGCCATGGGGTACCCCATTGATCTCTACTACCTCATGGACCTCTCTTACTCCATGCTGGATGACCTGGAGAAGGTGAAGAAGCTGGGAGGGGAGCTGCTCAGGGCACTGGAGAGTACCACCCCTTCTCGGCGCATAGGTGAGCCTGTCTTTGACATGGGATCCCGACACAGCTCTTTACTGCTGGGAGCAGCTGCAAGGCTGGAATGGCATTCGAGCAACGGGCAGCAGTGACCCATCCTCTACCAGGCTGGAAGTCTGTGCCCTGTGCTGCGGGGATGCCTGCTGGTCCCTTCTGCCCTGGCCCCTGACACTGCAGTCTTGGGTACCCTAGGTTTTGGCTCCTTTGTGGACAAAACGGTGCTTCCCTTTGTGAATACGCACCCTGAGAAGCTGAAGAACCCCTGCCCCAACAAGGACAAGCAATGCCAGCCTCCCTTCGCCTTCAAGCACATTCTTTCACTGACGGACAATGCCAAGAAGTTTGAGAGTGAAGTGGGGAAGCAGTTCATCTCGGGGAACCTGGATGCCCCAGAGGGAGGGCTGGATGCCATGATGCAGGCAGCAGTGTGCGGGGTGAGTCCTTGCATCCACCCTGCTGCCAGCAGCTACGCACAGGTGTGAGGGCTGTGGCCCATGCTCACAGACTGTCCCTCAAGGGCTTTGCCCTTCTCCAGGTGGGCTCTGGAAGCCCATCATGCGTAACTCCTGATTTTGCAGTGGGGCAGGTTTACTCTGGGGGAGGGCGTACAACAGAGCATCTTACCCCAGACCCTCCTGACCCTGGTCTCCTGTAATCCACCTCCCCTGTGCCCCGTGGCCACACTATGGCTGCCACAAGACTTTGGCAAGGACCGTACCATGCCTGCTGCCGCTGTGCTCCCAGCCCCACTCAGGAACAGGTCTCTGTGCCACTTGCAGGACTTGATTGGCTGGCGCAACGTGACCCGCTTGCTGGTGTATGCTACGGATGACGGCTTCCACTTCGCCGGTGACGGCAAGCTTGGGGCAATCCTGACCCCCAATGATGGCCAGTGCCACTTGGAGGACAACATGTACAAAAAGAGCAATGAGTTTGTAAGTACCCAAGGGGTGCGTCCCCCAGGCGGAAAGAAGTGTGGTATAAAAAGCGACACTTTGGTGAGACATTGGAACAGATTACCCAATGAGGTGGTGGAAGACCCATCCTGGAAGATTTTAAGGCCAGGCTGGATGGCTCTGAGCAACCTCATCTAGTGGGAGATTATCCTGCCCATGGCAGGAGGGTTGGAACCAGATGATCTTTAGGGGGTTGAAAACAGATGATTTTTAAGGTCCCTTCCAGCCCTGACAATTCTATGATTCTAAGCCTGTTGCTGAGACCACAAGGTCACCATGACTTGGGCTGTGAAACCCAAGGTGTCCACCCTTATGGTCTTGAGGGAGATAGCACTGAGTACAGCATCCTTCTTCTCACCTAGGACTACCCATCGGTCGGACAGCTGGTCCAGAAACTTGCTGAAAACAACATTCAGCCCATTTTTGCTGTCACCAGTAAGGTGGTGGATGTTTATAAGGTAAGGAGACTTCAGATAGGACAGAAACAGCTGTACGTGTCCTCCTGCCGCTGCCCGCTTCTCCAGCGTCAGCAGGGACTGCTCACTTCTTTGCTCTCTATTGGCAGAAACTCAGTGAGATGATCCCAAAATCAGCGGTGGGAGAGCTAAAGGAGGACTCCAGCAACATCATTGAACTCATCCAGGTTGCCTACAATGTACGTGCTGGAGGAGGCTGCGTTTCACCGTTCTGGCGGGGCTCAGAGCAAGGAAAGGTTTCCATCATATGCCCTCCCTGTCAGCAGTTGGGAGCAGAGCTTTGAGTACAGGATATGTTGAGTCTCTCCACCCACAGCAAGAAGTTCCCTCCTCTCCAATCCTATCACCTGCCTTTCCAGAACCACACAGACAGCTAAGACCCCAGCCTGTGGTGCTTGCTGCCCCTACGCCCTGGGCTGGAGGGAAGCCCTGACCTGCAATTCTGCACCACCATGCTTTGGTCTCCTCTTGGACTGATGGCCCTTTCTCCACCGTTTCCCCACAGAACCTCTCCTCACAGATCATCCTGGACCACTCCACCCTGCCAGATGTCCTGGATGTCAAATACGACTCCAAATGCAGTAAGGACAAGGTCAGGTTGGATGAAGCGAGAGGTCAGTGCGACAACGTCAAGATCAACGATGAGGTATGTTCCTCCATACCGGGAACACCCCACAGCTGCCTATTTAATGGCAGGAACCAAGCCTGTTCCAGGCTTTCTATTTACATGAATTTAATGCCAAGAGTGTCCAGAATGCTGTGAGACTGGGAGATCTTCTGTTGCACTGGATGTGTGCATGCTTAGCCCAGGGCCAATACCACCCTCCGACTGCTGAAGCTACCTGATAGCCTTTGGCCCTTTCCTTTCTCCCCCTGCATTTTCTAGGTCATCTTCAAAGTGAAGGTCACAGCCAAGGAGTGCATCAAAAGCCAGTCCTTCACCATCCGGCCACTGGGCTTCACAGACACCCTCACCGTCCACTTGGACAGCAGCTGCAACTGCAGCTGCAATGAGAAGCCCAACCCAACTGACTGCAGTGGGAAAGGCAGGATTGTCTGTGGGATCTGCAGGTATGTGGTAGTCCCCCCAAAACACTATTTCAAATGCTGCCAGAGCTGGGGAGCTGCTGGGAGAGGGCTGTTGGGCTAGGCCAAGGCCTTGGCTCTGCAGCTTTGCACCAATTTTCTTATTCAAGGAGGTGGGTTATATTTGCAGGGGCAGGGAACAGAATAAGATCTCTCTTCTGTTGGTGGAGCCTCTGCTGCTTTCACAAGAGCATCCACCCACCAACACATCCACCTGTTGAACCATCCACAAACTCACCTGTGGAGCAGACACAGATTTCTGCAGAAATCTCTCAAAATCCCACTTCTGGGCTGCAGTTCACAGAGGTCTTTAAGTGCAGTTATTGCTTCATGGCCCCTCAGTGACATGAGAGGAAAGACTGGGTTTCCTCAGGAAACACTCAGATCTCCTTGGCAAGGGTTTGGAAAATGTAAATATAACAATAATTTCCGTGCAACCGTTTGGTGGTGTAAATACAGCTGGGGAAAAAGCAGCATTTCAGAGGTTTCCTCCCAATTAGCTGCCAAGCACCAACACCCCGTGCTTGATTTTTGGCAAAGCTATCTCAGATTTGCTCTGCTTTGGCCGAGGTCTGGGCCCCACGCATGCCCCCTGACATTTCTTGTGGCTGCTGACCTGGGCTTGCTCCTCTCATTTGATGGCAGCTGCAATTCGGGCTACACGGGGAAGAACTGTGAGTGTGATACCAAAGGCAAGACCAGCAAGGAGCTGGAGGGCAGCTGTCGGAAGGACAACAGCTCGGTCATCTGCTCGGGGCTGGGGGACTGTGTGTGCGGGCAGTGCATCTGCCACGATGAGCCCGACAGGGAGATCTTCGGCCCCTTCTGCGAGTGTGACAACATGAACTGCGAGTTTCACAACAGCTTCCCCTGTGGTGGCAAAGGTGATGTATCTGCATGATGGGTTCTTCACCGGGGCACTGTTTAAAAAGATTAAATCCCCAGAGAGATGCTGCCTTCTCCTGCCAAAACCCCAGTGGGTGGGTTTGTTGATTCTGGGTCCCACTGCACCAGCCTACAGGATCTCTTTGACCATCCCTTGGAGGGTGGCATGTAAAGTGCAGGGTGGGTGATACTCTCCAAGTGCTTGCAGAGGGACAGTGACCTGGGTCTGCAGGATGTTGATCTAAAAAGATATTCCCTGCAGACCGTGGGGCGTGTTTCTGTGGGAAGTGCCAGTGCAAGCCCGAGTACGAGGGCAGTGCCTGCCAGTGCAAGAAGTCAGTGGAGGGCTGCTTGAACAGCCTCGGCAACGAGTGCAGCCTCCGTGGGACCTGCCACTGCAACCGCTGCCAGTGCCTGGAGGGATACCAGCCCCCCTTCTGCAAGGAATGCCCTGTCTGCCCCTCGCCCTGCGGACAATACATGTGAGTGATGGGTACAAAGATGGCATGGGGGGGCAGGGGGATCCCCCCACCTCCTGGGCAGGTGCAGGCAAGCCCTGCCCACGCTTGGGCAGAGCCCAGCCATGGCCAAAACACTGAGCTGTGCCCACCTGTTTTGCAGCTCCTGTGTGGAGTGCAAGGCCTTCCAGAGTGGCCCATTTGAGAAGAACTGCTCCCAGGCTTGCCGCAACATCCATCAGGTTAAGGAGTTGACAGAGGAGGGCAGGCAGTGCAGGGAGAAGGACTCCCAGAACTGCTGGATCTCCTTCCGCATGGTCCAGGAGGATGGCAATGAGATATACTCTGTCACTGTTGATCCTACAAAAGGTATCCCAGCCCTGCTTGTCCTACTCCTCTGCAGGCAGGCTGTCAGCTCTGCCGTGGTGGCCTCACTGCCTTGCCAAGAGCTGCAGCCAGACGCCATGTCTCTGCCCTACAGAGTGCCCGGAGCCTCCCAACATCGCACTGATCGTGGGTGGCACCATTGCTGGTGTGGTCCTCATTGGCCTCGTGCTCCTACTGATCTGGCGGCTCTTGATGGAGCTGTTTGACCGCCGGGAATACCGTCGGTTTGAGAAGGAGAAGTCCAAGGCCAGGTGGAACGATGTAAGACAGCCTGTCTGCAATGGTGGGGTGTTCTGGGACAATCATATACGTGTGGTGGGGACACCTGGAGGGGACGTCCTCTTCAGAGACGGCCATGGCAGACCTGAGCCCTCCCCACTGGCTGGTTTCACAGCCCAGCTGGACTTTGCAGGGGTCTAAAGCGGACTCTTCTGGCAATGCTGTCTGCACCATCAGTGTTCGGAGGTGTAGGGTGGGTAATGCTCCCTTGAAAATCTGACATAGCACAACAACATGGTCCTCTCCCTTCTCTCTCTCTCTCTCTCTCCAGGCTGATAACCCCCTGTTCAAGAGTGCCACCACCACAGTCGTGAACCCCAGATTCAATGGGCAATGAAGAGGAGCGATGCCCAGCAATGCTAGGAACCACCAATACAGAAATGCCAAGCTAAGGAAATATCGAACTAAGGCTCCCACCTCCTCTTTTTTATGCTGTTGGTTTGTTCCCTTCATCCCAGAGGTGACCAGTAAGTCAGGTGCTGGCTGAAGGGTTGCACCATGCTTGTCTCCTGGTGCAGCACTTGATGGTTGAGTTAGTGGACCTGGGAGAAGGGAACAGACACAGCTTTGCCATGGATGGGACTGTGGAAAAGGTCTCACCAGCAGGCACACACAGCGGCTCCTGTACTGGCCACTGACTGTCTCAGCTCTTGATGCTAACTGTGCCTTCTGGCAGGAGCCCCAAAACCCGCCTGAGTGCACACAGTGCTTCCAGCTTTAATTTGGAGGTGGGATTTCAAAATTTCCATTTCTCTTCTGCTCAAGCAGAGTCTGCTCCCAGGCTGCTTCATGCCTTCCCGTGCTGCACTGGTCTGCACCGCTATTTTTGCATTAGTTTCTAAAGCACTCACTGCTGAGCTGGATGTGAAGGATCCTCCAGGCTGGCATTCCGCTCTGGAGGTTGCACTGAATCTTATTTCCAAATCATCAGCTGCTTCCTGCTGTTGCTCCCCTCTCAGACCTACCTCGGGCAAGGTTCTGCTTCGGCTCCTGAAAGCTTGGCTTACCTCCAGCAAGCCTTGAGCCCTCTGCGTGACAAGGAGGCGAAGGAGCCAACTGTTTGAATTATGAAACATCACACCAAAGATGTGAAACGTTGCCTGCAGCTCAGACCTTGGCCACAGCTTCTTCCAGCACCCCCAGGACAAGATCTCTTTTCTGCTCTGTGAGCACATCAGACATGTCAAGGGCCAGGCATGCAAAAACCCAGCAGACCAGGAGCATCTCCAGCTCTTGCAAACCTTGCACAGCATCTAATTGCTCTTAGGTTGTGGGGCCACTCCTATGAAATTGTGCACAATTCCATATTTGCTTTAAGTCTGGGAATAATTTACGTGTAGCTATATTATGTCACATGTTCATTTGCTCTCTGAAGAGGTTTAACATTAATAAAAAGTAGTACATAAAGTAAATACTCACTAAAAGATGCAAACTAGTTCTTGTCCCTGCCCATCTGCTGGCAGCTATATGTAAACTACCTTAAACAAGAGTGGCTGTACTGTGTCAGAACTAAGTCTTGGATGCAATGCCCCTTGCCAGCAATCCAGGCAGAGGCTAGTGTTACCTGAATGTGAAAAGATATCATTTCCCCTGTCAGCAGCTGCAGGTCTTACCTCAGGTGTCGTGTGTGCAGTGCAAGTACAACCACATACGGGCTTTGGAGGGCAATTAGAGAAAATCAGTGAGGGAACCAGACTTTTTCAGAAAGAAATATGATCGCTAATTGCATTAGACAGAAGTGTGTGCTAGGGCACGCATGAAAGCCCAGAGGAAGAAAAGTGAGCTAGGAGGGTCCTTCAGGCCCCTGGTCTTGCTTTAGACTGAAGCTTGGTGGTCTCTCTGTGGACATCTGCTTGCAGAAGTCAGAAGTATTTCTCAGCCAGGTGTGAAGCAGCGTTTTCTCCAGGCTTCAAGCACTACCCCAGGACATCCTTTCTCAAAGTTATTTTATTTCCACCAAGAATAACTGAACCATGTTTTCTTTCCCTTGGGGTGAGGAGGAAGCCAGCTGATTTTTCAAGTGAAGATGTTGACTTGATTTTGGTGAGATCAAAAATCAATAGTATGGGCTGGGACCTCCCTGACCAATTCAAGTATCTGTCCTGTTGGCTGGGAGGGCACATATTCCTCCCATTACTGCGCACAAAAGCCGCACCCAGCCCACGACACACTGCGTCACTCAAAACCAGGCTGCTAAGGTGAAGCAGAGATAAATCTGAGCTCCTGCACAGGCTTTCTGGGCACTCTGTTCTCCGATGGGCTCCTTTTGCCCAGGGAGAAAGACCAACGCAGCTCCTGAGGGGGTGCAAGAGAAACAATTTCATCCAGCTGAGCCGACAGCCTATACCTTGGCTTTTATTGCAGCTGGGGGCTCCCTTTACATTTAAGCCATTTGTGTCCCAAAGGGAAAACTTCCAATATTCTTCAGACAATGGGACAAGCCCCACAAGTTTTCCATGCAGAAGTCCCGTGCCAGACGCTTTATGAGCAGGTAGGTGCCACCCAGTGCTGCTGCTCCCATCACAAATAACCCTCGATTAATAATCTGCAAATGCAAAGAGAAACTCTGGCAATATCAGAGGTTTTTTCCTACCCTGCAGCACCAAGCAAAGTCTTCAGACTTGTGCCCACCTGGTGACATCCCAGTATTAAAGCTCCCCCCGCAAAGCTAAGCCGTGCTGGCGTGCAGGATGTGGAGTTCAAGATGCTCATGGCATGGGGAGGACGGGCACCACCACTGACCAACCTTTTTCTGCCATTTCCAGCGGTGAAGTGCCTCGTGGTAACGAATTCTTGTGAAGGTCACCTAGGACAGTTGTAGGAGGACGTCATTGCCTCAGAGCCAGACAGGAGGAGTTTGGGGTGGCTCAGGCAGTGGGGACCGAGGTGGTGGCCTTACCATGGTGTACAGCGGGACGATAGTGGAAGGCAAGAGGGCATGGAGGAAATTGTCTACGTGTTTCCGGAAAATGAACCACGTTGAATTCACGTGTTCACGCATCTGCAACAGAGCAACCATCACCCTTTTGCGGGGTGTCTTGGCAGAGGACCCTGCATTTTGCTAGCTCTCCTACTGCCCGTCCTTGCCAGAGCCCCTGCCCACTGTGTTGCAGCCTGTGCACTGTGTCGCTGTGTGCACAGCCCACAGGACCCCAAGTCTGCGTGCAAGCCCACCTACCTCCACGTAATTGTACATGGCTAAATCTGAGATCGCGTGGTCATCTGGCACCCTCAGTGTGGAGAATTCGGGGAGGCAGGCACCTGGGAGAAGAAAGGGGCAGCTCACACACAGCAGCCCAGCAAGGGATCCAGCTGCCTTCAGCTGCAGAGGGATCCTTCTCTGCTCTCACTCCTCCCCGGCCACCTCGCTCACCAAAGTCGTTGTGGAACTGGTCCATTAATTCGTCAAAGACCAGACAATCCTCAAAGCCCTGGGAGGAAAATTAGAGGGTAAACAGTCAGAAGGAACCACGTGTTCATAAGAAGTGTTCTCACAGATGCTTGGCTAGCAGTGGAGCTTCTTGCGTGCACAGAGTCCCACTGACCACAGGTTTAGAGCACAAATCTTGTTCCAGGTGTGCTGACAGAAAAATCCAGGGGATTGCCTTTCGCAGCAGCCTGGCCCTGCCCTCCTGCTCAGTTCTCTGTCCCATGGTAAGGCAGCACTACTGCCATATCCTCCCTCCTCCCCGGAGGACAGCCAGGTCCTAGTGAGCAGCCAGGTGCCCCAGGGGAGCTCAACACCTGCCAATGCAGAGGACATCCAGATGCAGGACAGGACAAGCCAGCCTGTGCACTCTGTGAAGCTACGTGCTAAACCCAGGTATTTCTGGGTGAAAAGAGTGGGGACCCAACTGACATAGCCCAGGGCCAGCCATGAACTTACTGCGTTCATGCCCTGTCCATAGAAGGGCACAACAGCATGCGCAGCATCTCCCATCAGCACACACCGGGAGGCAAGGTGGTAGGAGGAGCACTTCACAGATATCATGGCCTGGGCTGGCAGCAAAAAGTAATCGTGCTTCAGCTCTCGCCTTCAGGCAAAACAACAGATACGTCACTTGTGGGGCCACAAGATACAAGAAGAGCAAGTCATACCATGTCCAAGCTCAGGAAGCCAGGTCCATGAGCACTGTCAGTGTTGGGATGCAAAACCCAAGCCTACTCACTAGGGTATTTGTGCTGGGAAAATTGTACACATCTACAAAACCTGTTTCATTAATTTCCCCCTACTGACCAAATATTTTGACTGCAGGTTTTAAGCTCTACACAAAACCTGACTGTGAGTAAGAGAGTCATCAACATCTCAGCCCTTTTACCATGAGCTGTGCTGGATGGCAGTCTTTGTAGAAAGAACATGCTAGAGGTTATCTGAGTTTCTAAGTTTATGTGAAATTCTGTGATACAGTCTCCTTAAGAGGAAACTGCCCAACACAGCTGAGAGCCTTCCTATAACCTAAAAAAGCCTCTGCCAGATAACTGTTGCAAAGCAGAAGCATTAACAGCATGGGCCAGACATCCCACCGGCTGGGGAGACTTCCCTCTTTGCAGTATAATGAGGACACACTGAACAGAGCCATGGCCATGCTGGAAATGCTAGTCCCCACGGCCCCCCAAAGAACCAGAATGCTCCAGCTCTGTGCTAGTGTCCTTGTGCTGTTTGCCCAGTGGCAAGAGGGTCCCCTCTTCTATGGGAGCAGCATGGCCCTGGGAACTGCCCGCCCTCATGTCTCACAGCCCTGATATTTGTTTTAGCCATACAATCAATACATCGTAGTCTTTGTTTGGTCAGCACAGTAATTTGGGCTTTTTTTTTTTTGCCAAGCCCAGCTTTTCTCGGTCTTAGCTAAAATCAGCATTTGCGCAACTCGGCTATCCCAACGGCCAGACTGTTTTTGCGCTGTTGGTTCCAGCACGCAACCCTCACCTCGCTTTCCAGCAGAGTCACTTTGCTCACACTCGTCTAACGTCAAAACCCTGCAGCTTATGGACAGCTAATCCAAAAGCAGCAGAAGTGTTTTGTTCTTTGCTCCTGCAGTGGCAGGGCCTGGGCTGCCAGCTTCAGCAGAGTCTCTGAGACTGAGCAGGGATACGTCCCCTGGCTCCACAGCACTGGCAGGGTGAGTGAGAAGGGGAGATGGGAGCACTTACTCGCCGATGAGGGGGATGGCATCTGGAAAGTAGGTCTGGAAAAAAACCAGCACTTGCTCGCCTGTTGTGAGCTTCTCGAATTCCTCGAAGGGCATGAAGAGCGTGCAGGTGAAGGACTTGTCCTGCCAGCCAGGGAGGAAGATCAGAAAGAAGCCTGGAGGCCATAGAAAGCACCTGGCACCCAGA